GATAGTCTGTCTCCCACTGTCTCCAGCAGACCTCCAGTGGCCCACGGTCGGCTTGTGATGAAGATGGTGGCAGCAGGTAGCTGGATGCCTCGGATCAGTTCAGCAAAGAGAGAGTCTGACCTCAAGATCACCTGGCAACTCGTCCCAGGCCTCCAGCCAAATCAGACATCCCGCACCACCACTCTCTGCAACTCTTCTGACTCACTTCCTCTCTCACTTGTTCCTCTGCTGTGTCGGAAGAGGCCGGGAGCGGAGCTGATTTGTCTGATGTTGCCGTTCTCTGAGGGGCAGCAGTAAGCACAAATGGAGTAGGCCTGAAGCAGCTTGCCCTCTGCTGCCACTGCCGACACTGGTGCCAGGCAAACGTGGGTCTTGCGCCGACTCCCGGAGCCCCTTCTATCAGGACCACCTGTGGCCGAGAGCCGTCCCCCATCACTCCCAGCTGACTCAACTCCATGGCCGTCTTCTTGTAGACCACGTCGTCCATGTCTCCTCGCAGGCTCTCTCTAGTGAACCTGTCCATGTCTGATGTGGAGAGGCTCTGTTTCTCAATCCTGGCCAAACGGAATGGGAGCAGGGGTTTGGGTTTGGAGTCAGAGAGAGGCGTGAGGGGACTCCTGGATGTGTACAGCTGCTTCAAGAGAGATGTGTACTGCAGTAGTGGAGTCGCATAGCAGACAACACCATCCACTGTAATGGTTTCTATCTCCATGTCTGCAAACTCCTTCAGCTCAGTTCCTTTGATTACTGTCTGCAACTGAGGAGCCACTAAGGCAGGTACAGAGAAGGTTACACTGACACAGCCTGGACCTGCATCTCTCAGGAGAACTGCAAATGTTGGGAGAAAGAGTTTTCTAGCCAGACTCTTCTCGAGGAGGTCCAGATCACGCAGCGTACATGTGTTCCAGTCCTTATTGTGTTTGACGACAAAGTCACAGAGTTGGCCGACTGGAGGAGTCTTTCCTCTCACAGGCCAGCAGTCCAGGAAGTCACACAGTCTCGTCTCCTCAAAGAATTTCTCCATTTGTGACTCGTAGTCCTCCATTTCCCTCTGGAGATTGTCATCACTGAAGTTGAATAGAATGTGCTGCAGGATCTCGTAGTTGAGAAAGTTTAAGTATGGACTCAGCTTGACCCAAACTTCCAGGACCGTCTTCTTGTCTTGTGTGATTTCTGTGAGAATTGGTCGGTGGTGTTCTTGTCCATTCACATCCATTGCTAAAAGACCAGCTATAAAGACGTCCACTGGTTCATCCCTGACTCGTCTGTAGACACCTATCCGCAATTTAGCAAAAGCTCTTTCCAAGTTTACTATCTTTGCTTTCAGGGTTTCATATGGTTTTCTGGAGGAACCTAAATTAAATAACACAAATTGTGTTACAATGAAATCTCTACCATGGTTACTGTTTCAATACCTGGAGCAGGGGTTGGGTTAGGTTTGCAATAAACCAGTTTAAGCTGTTCCGCAGCACTTTGTTTCCCTATAGCAGGAGAGGAGAGAGCATCCACCACTTTCTGCCAGGTGGGATCAATCTTCGAGAGCCAGGCACACAACATCTGCAGCAGACAGTCATCAGGAAAGATCGAGATCGAATGGCATTAAGATCTGATGTCTTCATGTTCAACTGTACTCCGAGATGATACCACTTGTCCCTTACTTCGTTGAGTTCATTTACTAGTGTTGCAAGATCATTCGTGGTTAGGGTATCTGCAAATTAATCAATCACTACTGAATAAGTTGGCATACTAATGTGTGGTACTTACCAGGGCCAGGGTTTTGTTCCACGTCTCCAGCCATCATGAGCAGCATCTGATTCACAAACCCTATCATTGTCACCTCACTCAGACCAGGCCTCTTTCTGTTGGAGAACAGCAGAGACATTAGGTAACACACACCCTCTGCCACTGTCTTCTTGCTGAACTTCCTGTACACCAGCCATGCCCAGCACTGGAGGCACCTCTTCAACAATGACAGAGACTGTCCCACATACAACAGAGCCTCACACACACAAACACAGACACACTTCATCAGTTCCTTGACAGTTTCAAGAACGACATTGATGACTCTTTCTGTCATTTCATCTGACGAAGGTTTGCCTGCAATTGAAGTAGAGGGTAGTGAAGATAGAAAATATGAGAAAACACACAGACTCACAACCGTTGCCGTGGTGCCAGGGATGTTTCCCAGAGAGTGAGAGTTGTGTGAGAGGTGGTAGGAGTATCATGGAGCACACTTGTACTGGACCAAACACTGCTCTGGTCCACACACAATCTGAGCCAACTGCCTCTTCTGAGGTTGAACCGGAACGCCATTCACCACTGCCAGCTCCACTGGTATCTGATAGAGAAAAGGAGAGAGACACACATCAAACACACTCTTCATTGTCTGCAGTCAGTTTTCCCCCACTGACCGTGATAGTGGAGTTGGAGTATGTGTTGACACAGTAGGATGCAGGAGTTGAGACACAAGTGACGTGGCCAGCACAGCACTGAGCCTTGCTCTCATTGCCAGCAACCCGAGTCTTTCCCCTGATAGCCGACTGACAGACACGCTCACTGCCTTCCTTCACCATCTCTTCCGTCTTCTCCTGTGCCTGCTCCAGACCAGACCGGACAAGCTGTGCTATGGTCACCAACAGAAACACACATCCTTTGTAGGCCACAGGATCGCTGGCCTTCAACCACTTGTTCCAGTGGGGACCAATGGGGCTCCGTGGCTTGGGAGCTGAAGACCTAGCCATTGCCCCTACAGCTGCCCTCCACTGTTCCACACTCACTGGCATGACTCTCAGTGGGGGAGTGGAGGTGGTGTTCCAGTAAAAGACAAGATAAGATGTTCAAAAAAGGAAAAAAGTGGGAGGACAAGTAGGACAAGTAGTGGGAGGACAAGTAGGTCTGTGCTCAGAAGTTGAAGTGAAGAAAATAGGATTTTGTTTGAAGATTGAAGAGAGCAGAGGTTCGTTGTGTACAATATCGAAAGCACAAATCCCTGCGAAAAGGCAAAAAGGAGAGACAAAACTGTTCAGTAATGTTTGAGATATATTCAGCATTGTAAATAAGAGGGTTATCCCATTATACTCCACCTCTCACTCGTGCAGTAGCTACTCCCAAAATACTTCTCACTATACTCTGATAAAGTAGCTAAGCAGGATGACGTTGGAGTTTTCACTGCTGTGTGTAGTGTGTGTTGCACATTCTAATGATATGCACAACTTATTTTCAGATTTTTGTGCGAAATTGTACCATTGCGCGGAATTGTTGTGTGTCGGTCTCTCCTGGGCTGAATTGATGGGCTAAGACAAAAATAATCACGAATCCATATATGTAATTATGCGACCACTGTGACAAAGGCAAAAATCGTCTGTTCTATGATTTCTGATCATTTCTGATCCTTTTCCTGTCCTACCTGCCACACCCCTTACTGCTCTGCTTTTACCACACCCCTTACTGCTCTGCTTTTTACTCTCAGTCATTTACACTGGCCACAGTCTCCCACTATCGTTTTCACATCACACACTGATGTAAAGCCATGCTTTGCAACATCTGTATAGATTCTGTAAAATTTCCGTTTTTTGTGTAACTTTTCCGTCACATTCTAACCTGACATTTGTTGCAATACCTGCCACACCACTAACTAATTTCAATTTCTTCCAGGAGTGTATAAAACAAAAACACCCAGATAAATTTGTTGGTAATGGTGAAGATATATAGCTTGTAGTGAACATGCCTGATAACAATCTGACAACACAACAAAACAGGGAGTCAAATTTAAAGTTGCTGGGATTCTGGAAACACTAGATTGGTACAGCTAGCAACCTGTAGCCATCTACGGAAAAGGTAACACTAGTTCTGTAGCTCAGTGGTTAGCGTACTGGACCCCCAGTAACTACAACCAAGTTGGACCAGATTGGTGTATAGGAACTGATGATGCTCTATTCCAGGATTTGCTCACATCCTCTGAGGCTGTTAATATCAGCCTCAGAATAAGATCTTGGAATTTACATTCATCTTTGTACATTTGTACTAGACTTAATGTACTACGCTGTAATGTATCATGAATATCGATAAGTATTCACGTCACAAGTATTGGTCATTATGAATATTTCACAACCAACATTCCATTAGCATGCATTGTTAGCTACACACCTAATTTGGGAATCATAAAAACTACACCCTCATAACTAAAGCTAATTTTTTTATCAGTTGCTCAATAAGAAATAGATGTGGTTTGGGTTGGTTCGGTTGATTATATCTCAGTTTGTTATTAAAAGATTGAGATCTTGGGACGTTCTTGACGAAACAAAAACCCCGCCAAAACCTTACTCAACACCATTTGATCCTGATTCTGATAGAACCAATCAGATTTCTTGCTGGTGATGTAACATACTGACGAAACTGGTTTGACTAATGAAAGAACGAACAATGCCCTACCAGCTGGAGTATGATTGGAGTTAATATCAACAATGGAGAAACAGTCTTCACTAGTAGTTGCAAACTGCACACAGATAGTAAACAACGTAGTGCGGAGAGAACTTCTTCCAAGCAATGGCTATATTATTGACAAGGCGTAAGTGGTCAGACTGAGAATGGTTGAATGGACATGCTTTTTCCCCCAGTGGATGGGCACGACAGTGAACCAGCGGTAGCTATGTACAAACGAAGGTGAATGCACTAGTTACTACACATGATCCTCGGAGAGGACTACTTGTTATTCCTAGACTAAGAGACACTTCGATCGGACAGCAGCCAAGTGTCGCAAATGGGCGTGGCGCGCATGCAGTCCGCCGGCCGTGCCCGTTCCGATTTTTTTGCTCTATCCGTGTATCTGGGAAATATCTCTAGTTCATACTGTTCAATTATGATACTTTAAACGCTTCTGTGGTGTTCAGTAACTTGACACAGACCCAAACAAAAGGAAAATACATGCACAAAACTCACCGTACACAAGAAAGGGCGGTGCTGCTTTTCTTGCGTAAATACGCATGCGTCTACAAATTACGTAATCCTTGACGACCGTAACAAATCGGGCAGTGTGGTAGTAGAGGCGACACGGAGCTAAAAGAGATCTTTCACTGCTGGGAGCGAGGCTGATTCATGAGCAGAAGACCCGAGGATGTAGGTGCAGTGGTGAGAGAGCTGTCGAGCGTCAGGCTACCTCTGCTCGGCGCTGGGAGGAGAGAGAGAGAGAGAGCCCTAGTTCTCGCGCTAGGTGGTGGGGTCTCGCTAGAGCTGGTGGAGAACTGGTATATGGTGCAGGGTCGTTGGTTCCGCGGCCTCTTCTCTCTCGTCAGTGGCTGTCGTCCTGGTGCGTTGCATGTGGAGGTTGACAAGCCACGCCCACGTACAGGTTTCACTAACTGGGAAGAAGAGAATGCAGCTCTATAGCAAGAATTGTCTATGGTGTAGTTGGATTGTTAGCTTTCCCTTAGCCTTGCACCCTCATTGCTGTTCTACATGCTACCGGCTCTTTCTTCCTTGGAAAAGAGATTTGTCCAGGGTGTGACTTTGTTACTGTTTACTCTTCCATGTTACTAAAGCTCTAGCTCAGTCTTACCCGTTCTCCCTCTCTCTCCCTCCCTGTAATCTCCCTCTAGAGGTTGCATGATTTAGAGAGACGGGAAGAGATGGCAAGTGAGGAAGGAGAGATGTCCACCATTTCAGCTCATGATCTGGCCAGAGAGATTCACTCCAACCAGGTACAGTACTCCACCACAATCTCCACTCTGTTGTACGAACACTACTTCTCCATCTGCCTTCTCTCTACAAATTTCATTGTAACTTCAAAACAGACTACTTTCACTGATTGGTCTACTTTCTTCCCTCTCTCCCTCCCTCAGAGCTGGCTCGGACGTGTGTCCTGATCCACTGCATGGCTGCACTGCAAGAATACCCTAAACCCCACCTTTGGTACAAAGGTCATCTTCTACATCAGCAATCCTGCCGACACTGAAGTGACAGTGCAGGTAAGACAGACCTGACGTCAAAAAATGCAGCTACAACAAAATCAATGTTAACTGTCCTGAAGAATGTTCCAGAAATCCGTCTGTTTTCATGTCGCAATCCCCCAATAAGTGGGTGGCATTACTCCCTTAATACACATTGCACATCAACTTAGGGAGCAAGCACAATCATAGTTAACAAAAGTTTGACTCCAACAATTGCAGACGTCGCACAACTATCATGCGCAATCATTAGTTTGACTCCATGAAAACCAAAAAGCATCCCTGAAGCTGTAGCTGAGGCAGGGAGAGGGTGTGTAGCTATTGACTGTCTCTCTGTGTGTGTGACTGTGTGTCTGCAGGTGTGGAACCACAATCTGGTGGTGGACACCTTCCTGGGTCAGATGTCAGTCCCAATACCAGGAGATGGGGAGTCTCGCAGCTCCTCTGAGAGGTCTGGGGAAAAACCAAGTTCACAGCTTCTTGTTGTTCTGTCCCATTTGTCACATGGAAGGAATACGAGTGTGACCTGGTGTATGAAAGACAAAAGAAATGCCTGTTCTCTCAACTTAGAATTCCGAGAGCCGTAATTGTGATTCGATCTTCTTTGTGTGTGTACTTTAATTGGGCACATTGCTAGCTTACTCGGATGTAACCAATTGTCGGCTCCCAACAGATTTGTGCAATTTTACCGTAAAAAGGCATACGTTTTTGACGTTTTGTGTGTGTGTGTGTGTTGTGTCTGCACAGACTGAAGGGGAGAGGGAGGCAGTCCTCCGCACCAACTCAGGGAACTCTCTCCATCCGAGTCGACTGCTCCACTGACCTCTTCTCCTCGTAATGATGAACTAGCAGTAGTTTCAACTAGTCGTGTGACAAGTGGAAGTATAATATACATTTTGTCCGTACAAAATTATGCATGTTCCTGTATTATATCTATGTACAACATTACTAATGTCCTAAGTTTATTTTTGGCTTGCTCTGGTTTTAGTGAACTCTTCAGTTTCCAAAGTACCACTAGTCTTTTCAGCTGTTGGTGTGGAGATTCCAGTGATGATAAAGTGGTTCACAGAAATGCCCACACTAACCTGAAAGTCTTTCTTTATGTCCAGTGAAAGGTTTAACAACAGTACTCATCTCCCTTTCTTCGTCACTTGAATCAGCTATAAAATTATGAGAAAAACCACACAAACCACATAGACCAAATTATTATCATAAACCAGTAGATAAATGGAAACTAACTAGGTGACTGTGAGACAGACGATCCTGACATCATCTTCTCCGTCTCCTCTGAGAGTATCATCTTCTTATAAAGTGGTCCTGACAATGCACCGGCTGTTTGTATTGAGAAAGATAATATGTATTATATTAAGTTTTCTTTGTTATTGCCACACACATCTACTCACAAAAACTTGAAAGCTGGGAACCTCGAGATGCCTGAGTAGCAATTTCATAAGTAATTATACAGCATTTCATCACTCAAGTAAGCTCACCTTTGAAAGCCTAAGTTTGTCACAATGAATGATAAAACGTGTTCTTTTCATCAGAGGACGCATCGGAGGGAGCATTTCTTGTGTCTCAGTGTGTTTCCGTTTTTGAAGCTGTAACAGTAATGACACTCCCTCTTCTCCTAGTGACTCATCACAAATCAGCCACAGCTCCTCTAGTGATGAGTTATTCTCTAGACCTACACACAATCCTCTCACTCCATCATCTCCTAGTGCATTCAATGACAAGTCCAGATGTCTCAGAGTCTTGTTTCTCTCTAATGCTGCACCTAACTCCACACCTCCACTGCTGCCAATACCACACCTGGCAAGATTCAGTCTCTCTAGTGAACTGTTTGTCTTTAGCATTGTTGCCACGGCAACAGCACCTTCTGATCCAATCTGGTTGAAATTCAAGTCCAACTCTCTCAGTGTATGGTTGTCACTCAGTCCACTCACTACTTCTCCTACTCCATCACTAGTCAGACTACACCAACTGAGGTCCAACTTCTCTATCTGATAGTGTATTGTGTGTCTCAGTAGCTGTCCCAGACACACACAGTAAGATGTAGTCAAGTGACAGTCACTCATGTTCAGTCTCCTCATTGAGCTGTTGGCACTCAGAGCCTTACACATTGAGTCAATACTCTCAACTGATATCTCATTCCTTCCAATTCAAAGTTCCTCCAGACTTGTGGTGGAGTGAATATAGCTTGATAGACATTGGAAGTCAGCGTCACTGATACCAGTTCTCCTCATATTCAGTTCTCTCAGTTTGCTGCTGTGTAGAGATGACACCAGCTGGACAGCACCTCCACATCCAATACCTGGGTTATACCTCAGGTCCAGGTCCTCAAGACATGGCATCCTCTGAACACCTTCAGCTAGCAACTCACACCCTCTTCTGTCCAGCTTGTTCAGGGAGAGATTCAGGTGTTTGACATGTGGTAGTAATGAGTTAGGAATAGTCAGAAAATGTCCTACACCTTCAGCTGTGATGGACCCACGTTTGAATGAAGCTGAAACGAAATGACTAGAGATGCCAGTCTCAGGCAGTTGATGATTGCAGCCTTTACTGAGAAACTCCATTGCCACATCATCAATCGAGTGGAGGAAAATGTTCCATGTACAGTTGGAGTGAGCTAGACAGTATCCTGCTGCAAAGTAGTCTGTGGTAGTTGCAGAGAAGGACAGGCTCAGTATTTTCCAACCAGAGCCCAGGACACTTGTAAGGAAAGACTGGTTCTGGGACTCATACAACCACCTATACATGGTGGTGTCATCTTTCCTCAGCAGATCTGAGAGAAAGTCTACTGGAAATGGCTCTAGCTTAGTGATCCCTGCCAGGAACTGGAATGTTGTTTTATATTGTGTTGCCTCATAATAGGACCTGCCATATCTAGCCTCAACCATTCTCAGCCACTTTGTGTCCATGATAGTCATCAGTTGCTGAGGCGGTAGATGTGAGAGGTGAAGAGCTGCAAGGTACTCCTGGACTGTGTAGTGCAGGAAATTGTAGGAGACTCTGTCTTCTCCCTCGTCGTAAACCTGAGGGACAGTCTGCAGGAGACCCAGGGTGGACACTCCTTCAGGAAGACTGGAGAATACTATCATCTGCTGGGACACTCCTTCGTAAGCCAGGCCACACAGTCGCTGCAAGTCCCCAAGCACTCTCTCTGGTAGATCGGCCAGTGTCTTCACTTTGATGTTCATGTGGCAGTACTCCAGGTGGTCTGAGAGGTGTTGTTCCAGTCTCATGAGGACGAAGGCAGAGTAGAGTCCAGTGACGGTGGTCGGAGGATTGTGTGGGGTAGACTTGAACACTTGTTCTACAATGGCTGCACTGACTGGGGTGTACATGGCTGCACGTATCACGGGATTGGACTCAATGAACTCCGAAAAGTCGAATCCCGAATCAGAGCTTGTCTGAGATTGGATGGCAACAATCATTGCTGTGATTTCATTCTCAACTTCCTCCTTTGCCAGTGCCAGTAGCTCCGTGTGCTGTGATAGTCTGTCTCCCACTGTCTTAAGCAGACCTCCAGTGGCCCATGGTCGGCTTGTGATGAAGATGGTGGCAGCAGGTAGCTGGATGCCTCGGATCAGTTCAGTAAAGAGAGAGTCTGACCTCAGATCACCAGGCAACTCGTCCCAGGCCTCAAGCCAAATCAGACATCCTGCACCACCACTCGCTGCAACTCTTCTGCTCACTTCCTCTCTCACTTGTCCTCTGCTGTGTCGGAAGAGGCCGGGGAGGGAGCTGATTTGTCTGATGTTGCTGTCTCTGAGGGGCAGCAATAGCACAATGGAGTAGGCCTGCAGCAGCTTGCCCTCTGCCCACTGCCGACACTGGTGCCAGGCAAACGTGGTCTTGCCGACTCCCGGAGCCCCTTCTATCAGGACCACCTGTGGCCGAGAGCCGTCCCCCATCACTCCCAGCTGACTCAACTCCATGGCCGTCTTCTTGTAGACCACGTCGTCCATGTCTCCTCGCAGGCTCTCTCTAGTGAACCTGTCCATGTCTGATGGGGAGAGGCTCTGTTTCTCAATCCTGGCCAGACGGAATGGGAGCAGGGGTTTGGGTTTGGAGTCAGAGAGAGGCGTGAGGGGGCTCCTGGATGTGTACAGCTGCTTCAAGAGAGTGGTGTACTGCAGTAGTGGAGCCTCATAGCAGACTACACCATCCACTGTAATGGTCTCTATCTCCATGTCTGCAAACTCCTTCAGCTCAGTTTCCCTTACAACATCCTTCAAATATTCCACTAGGGAAGGCGGAATTGAGAACGTCATTTCCAAACATCCTTTGCTTGCTTTTGTGAGGAACAATGCGAAGTTTGGAAGTAGCAGTTTTGTAGCCAGTTTTCCCTTCAAGTTGTCCAGATCAGCTAGTGTGCATGTCTCCCAGTCCTTGTGACTCTTTACTACAAATTCTTTGAGTTCTTTTGCTGGAGGATCTTGTTGTATCATTGGCCAGCACTGAACGAAATCACAAAGTCGGGTTTGCCTGAAGAAAGCGTATAATTTGTCACTGTATTTATCCATTCTTATTTGCAGGGCTCTGTTCTTGAATTTGGTCAAAATGTGTTGCAGAATCGTGTGATTGAGGAAGTTGAAGTACTCGTTTCAGCTCCACCCAAATGTCTGTGACTGTCATCTTTTTGCGAATCATCTTCTTCATGTAGTCCATGTGGCATTCCTTGTCCCTGATCTTGAATGACGTCAGTTTGACTTTGAAGACATCCACTGGCTGTGTCTTGACTGACTCGTACACATCATCTTTCAGTGCTTCAAACTCATTCTCAAGTTCTTCCATTCGAGACTCTATTTCTTCTGTGGTGAGGAAGCGTTGCTTGTCCACAGGATCAGTGGCAGGGTCCTGACTCAAGTAGGTCTGTCTGACACGTTGAGCTACAGCTGGTCTGTCTACGGCAGGAGAGGAGAGAGCATCCACCACTCTCTGCCAGGTGGGAGGAGAGGGAACTTCTTTGATAAGCCAGTCTGATAACATTTGTCGTAAGCAAGTGTCGGGATTCTTCTGGTACTGACTCCGAATAGCATCAAGATCAGGTTTTGTCATTCTCAGTTGAACTCCGAGATCATACCACTTGGCCCTCACTTCATGCAGTTCGTTCACAAGAGTTGCAAGAGTTAATGTGTCTGTGAACAAATGCAGTACATTCTCAACATATCTTTAAACTTGAATGTGTGCTACTTACCAGGGCCAGGGTTTCGTTCAACATCTCCAGCCATCATGGCCCCCATCACTCCCAGCTGACTCAACTCCATGGTCGTCTTCTTGTAGACCACGTCGTCCATGTCTCCTCGCAGGCTCTCTCTAGTGAACCTGTCCATGTCTGATGTGGAGAGGCTCTGTTTCTCAATCCTGGCCAGACGGAATGGGAGCAGGGGTTTTGGTTTGGAGTCAGGGAGAGGCTGGAGGGGACTCCTGGATGTGTACAGCTGCTTTGAGAGCGTGGTGTACTTCAGTAGTGGAGCCTCATAGCAGACAACACCATCCACTGTAATGGTCTCTATCTCCATGTCTGCAAACTCCTTCAGCTCAGTTCCTTTGATTACTGTCTGCAACTGAGGAGCCACTAAGGCAGGTACAGAGAAGGTTACACTGACACAGCCTGGACCCGCATCTCTCAGGAGAACTGCAAACGTTGGGAGAAAGAGTTTTCTAGCCAGACTCTTCTCCAGGAGGTCCAGATCATGCAGCGTACATGTGTTCCAGTCCATTTTGTGTTTGACGACAAAGTCACAGAGTTGGTCGACTGGAGGAGTCTTTCCTCTCACAGGCCAGCAGTCCAGGAAGTCACACAGTCTCGTCTCCTCAAAGAATTTCTCCATTTCTGACTCGTAGTCCCCCATTTCCCTCTGGAGATTGTCATCACTGAAGTTGAATAGAATGTGCTGCAGGATCTCGTAGTTCAGAAAGTTTAAGTATGGACTCAGCTTGACCCAAACTTCCAGGACCGTCTTCTTGTCTTGTGTGATTTCTGTGAGAATTGGTACGTGGTGTTCTTGTCCATTCACATCCATTGCTAAAAGACCAGCTATAAAGATGTCGACTGGTTCATCCCTGACTAGTCTGTAGACACCTATACGCAATTTAGCAAAAGCCCTTTCCAAGTTTACTATTTTTGCTTTCAGGGTTTCATATGGTTTTCTGGAGGAATCTAAATTAAATAACACAAATTGTTACAATGAAATCTCTACCATGGTTACTGTACTGAATACCTGGAGCAAGTGTTGGGTTAGGTTTGCAATAAACCTGTTTAAGACGTTCTGCAGCACTTTGTTTCCCAATGGCAGGAGATGAGAGAGCATCCACCACTTTCTGCCAGGTGGGATCAATCTTCGAGAGCCAGGCACACAACATCTGCAGCAGACAGTCATCAGGATTTTTCATGTACTGAGATTGAATGGCATTAAGATCCGACGGCTTCATGTTCAACTGCACTCCGAGATGATACCACTTGTCTCTGAATTCATGAAGTTCATTTACTAGTGTTGCAAGATCATCCGTGGTTAGGGTATCTGCACATTAAACGATCACTAATGAATAAGTTGGCATACTAATGTGTGGTACTTACCAGGGCCAGGGTTTCGTTCCACATCTCCAGCCATCATGAGCAGCATCTGATTCACAAACACTATCATTGTCACCTCACTCAGACCAGGCCTCTTTCTGTTAGAGAACAGCAGAGACATTAGGTAGCCCACACCCTCTGCCACTGTCTTCTTGCTGCACTTCCTGTACACCAGCCATGCCCAGCACTGGAGACACCTCTTCCACAATGACAGAGACTGTCCCACATACAACAGAGCCTCACACACACAAACACAGACACACTTCATCAGTTCCTTGACAGTTTCAAGAACGACATTGATGACTCTTTCTGTCCTTTCATCTGACGAAGGTTTGCCTGCAATTCAAGTAGAGGGTAGTGAAGATAGAAACTATATGAAAAACACAGACTCACAATTGTTGCTGTGGTGCCAGAGATGTTTCCCAGAGAGTGAGAGTTGTGTGAGAGGTGGTAGGAGTATCATGGAGCACACTTGTACTGGACCAAACACTGCTCTGGTCCACACACAATCTGAGCCAACTGCCTCCTCTGAGGTTGAACCGGAACGCCATTCACCACTGCCAGCTCCACTGGTATCTGATAGAGAAAAGGAGAGAGACACACATCAAACACACTCCTCATTGTCTGTAGTCAGTTTTCCCCACTGACCGTGATAGTGGAGTTGGAGTATGTGTCCACACAGTAGGATCAGGAATTGAGACACAAGTGACGTGGCCAGCACAGCACTGGGCCTCACTCTCATTGTCCGCACCCGAGTCTTTCCCCTGCTAGCCGACTGACAGACACGCTCACTGCCTTCCTTCACCATCTCTTCCGTCTTCTCCTGCGCCTGCTCCAGACCAGACCGGACAAGCTGTGCTATGGTCACCAACAGAAACACACATCCTTTGTAGGCCACAGGATCACTGGCCTTCAGCCACTTGTTCCAGTGCGGACCAATGGGGCTCCGTGGCTTGGGAGCTGCAGACCTAGCCATTGCCCCTACAGCTGCCCTCCACTGTTCCACACTCACTGGCATGACTCTCAGTGGGGGAGTGGAGGTTTTGTTCCAGTAAAAGACAAGATCAGCTGATGTTCAGAGAAAGAGGAGGGAAGAATGTGGCGGAAAGGTTTGTTGAAGATTTGAAGTGAAAGTAAATGTTTCGATCAAGAGTGGTGAGCTTCGAAATAAGTTTAAGGGAGAGAGAAGTTCAGACTGGGGTGCGACGTGGAAAAGGTTGAAATGTGTTTGGAGCCGGACGAAAGAAGCGAGGGGTTGTTTTTAAAACTCGGTTCAGTATCGAAATTACTGTTGGGAGAGAATATTATAATAATAATAAGAAGAATTGGATTAGTGTGTTGTCGAATGTAGCCCATCACCCAGTAACTACAACCGAGTTGAACCAGATTGGTGTATAGGAACTGATGATGCTCTATTCCAGGATCTGCTCACATAATGATACCAATTCTTGTGTGACGTGAATACTTATCGATATTCACGACACATTATAGTGTATAATATTAGACAAATGTAGTATGCTGCAACATGTCATGAATATTGATAAGAATTCACGTCACAAGAATTGGTATCATTATGAATATTTCACTACCAACATTTCATCATCGTCATTAGCAGACATTGTTAGGTACACACCTAATATGGGAGTCATAAAAACTACACCCTCACAACTAAAGCCAAGGAGCTTTACACACCTAACTATGTATAGTTCATCTGACAAAAAATGTTCGTTCGTGATTTTTGTGAAAACTAGGATTTATTATCAGATGCTCAATAATAATGGGGAGAAAAGATGTAGTTTGGGTTGGTTCAGTAGAATATAATAATCTCAGTTTGTTATGGGATCGTAGGGTGTTCTTGACGAAACAAAAACCCCGCCAAAACCTTACTCAACACCATTTGATCCTAATTTTGATAGAACCAATTAGATTGCTTGCTGGTGATGTAATATACTGACGAAATTGGGTTTGACTAATGAAAGCACCCATAATGCCCTACGCGGGTTGTGATAGGGTTTAATATCAACAATCCAGACAGTCTTCAATAGTTGCAAACCGCACACAGATAGTAAACAACGTAGTGCGGAGAGAACTTCTCCCATAATTCATAAGTCCAGGGTGGGTGTTGAATGGACATGCTTTTCCCAGATGATGGAGCTTCTGGGCACGACAGTGAACTAGATTATTGCGGTAGCTATGTACGAACGAAGGTGAATGCACTAGTTACTCGATCGGACAGCAGTCTAGTCTCCCAGCCATCGGCCCCGCAGAGCAGGTAAAAACGGGCGTGGCGCGCACCGTTCCGTTTTCTTTGCTCTCTCCGTTAATCTCTCTAGCTCATACAGTTTAATTTTGATGTTTTAATGCTTCTATAGTGTTCAGTAACTTTGCACAGACCCAAACAAATGGAAAATACAACTCACCGCAAACAAGAAAGGGCGCGGCGGTGCTTTTCTTGCGTAAAGAGATTCAATACGCATGCGTCTACAAATTACGTAATCCATGACAATTTTTTTTATGGCTGACCGTAACAAATCGGGCAGTGTGGTAGTGTAGAGGCGACACGGAGCTAAAAGAGATCTTTCACTGCTGGGAGCGAGGCTGATTCATGAGCAGAAGACCCGAGGAGGTAGGTGCAGTAGCGTGAGAGCTGTCGAGCGTCAGGCCTTACCTCTGCTCGGCACTGGGAGGAGAGAGAGAGCCCCAGTTAGTCGCGCTAGGTGGTAGGGTCTCGCTAGAGCTGGTGGGGAACTGGTGTATGGTGCACGGTCGTTGGTTGCGCGGCCTCTTCCTCTACCTTCTCTCTCGTCAGTGGCTGTCGTCCCGGTGCGTTGCATGTGTTGAGTGTGGAGGTTGACAAGCCACGCCCACGTACAGGTTTCACTAACTGGGAAGACAGAGAATGCAGCGCTATAGCAAGAATTGTCTACGGTGTAGTTGGATTGTTAGCTTTCCCTTAGCCTTGCACCCTCATTGCTGTTCTACATGCTACCGGCTCTTTCTTCCTTGGAAAAGAGAGTTGTCCATGGTGTGACCTTGTTGATGTTTACGTGTATACTCTTCCATGCTCTAGCTCAGCCTTACCCTTTCTCCCTCTCTCTCCCTCCCTGTAATCTCCCTCTAGAGGTTGCATGATTGAGAGACAGAGAGAGATGGCAAGTGAAGACGGAGAGATGTCCACCATTTCAGCTCATGATCTGGCCAGAGAGATACACTCCAACCAGGTACTGTACTCCACCACAATCTCCACTCATGTACCAATGCATCTGCCTTCTCTCAACCAGAGTCACCAGTAGAACCTCACTTATCCAGACTTTACTGTTAATTGAAAGTGGTTGCACGCGTGCTATTACATACACAGAGATGCCTAAATTGTATGATTTTGTGTTAAGATGCGTGTGATTCATTTTCATGCCTGGCATTAGAACCCCAAGGAAGTGGCTTGGTGTAAATATTTCCGACTTGTTAACATTTTGCTCCCCAAGCCACCATACCCTCTATCCCCTATGTTGTAATGTAGTCAATGACCATGCTAATGTGTTCCTCCCATGTCACAGGACTGCGTGGTGTTGTTGGACTGCAGACCTGTCTTCTCCTTCAGTTCCTGCCACATCTCGGGGGCCGTCAACATCAATCTCGCCTCCGTCATGAGGAAGAGGTTCATGGCCGGGAAGATTGGTCTCCCTGACCTCATATCATCTCCCCACTGCAAGACTCTGCTCCAGGTGACCTCCACATTTACATAGTACACCACTATACACACATGTCCGGTAATACCAACTAATGTATGATTCATGTGAAATTTTAAAGTGGTTTTGTGACTAAATACAGTACAATCATTTGTTTTCCAACACTTTTCTATCTATCTAATCTATGTACTGTGTGTATGTATGTGTGTGTGTTTTTTCCTTTCACTGACAGTTCCCATAGTAAACTGACAGCCTCCCTATACATACGTACACAATTGACAGTACAGGTGTGTATGTGTGAGTACTAGTGTGGTTAGTTGTGAGTAACTGGACCTTCAATTCACCATCTGGGTTTTGGTAGGGAGACTACATATTATGTACTGCAGATCTTACTCCCAATGAACATTTTACAGTACTGTTGTCAGTCCCAGTATAAGAAGTGCCTCCCGATAGAGAAAGGCTATATTAATGATATCTCTCTCTCTCTCTCTCTCTCAGAACGGAGGCTCGGGGAAGGTGGTGGTATACGATGAGTCCACAACTGACCCAAACTCTCTCTCCTCAAACACCACCGCCCACCTCGTCATTATGGCTCTCAGCAAGATGGGCAACACTCCACTACTACTCAAAGGTCTCTCTCTCCTCCCTTCTTCTCTCCTTTCTTGGTGTTTTTTGTTCAAGCATCGAAACCCAGGTTTTGGACACATAAATGGGAAAGCCTGGGTTCCAAAGCTTAGCATTTGTGTCAATGTCCCACATCGCTGTTCCTCTCCTCTTCCTTCTTCTCTTTCTCCTCTTTTCCTGCCTCAACCATTTCTCTTTCCTCTCTCCCCCCCTTTCTGTTTTATTTTGCTAACACATTTACTTTCTCTGTGCCCTCTCCCCCCTTTATCTTCCCTTTCTCTTTCTTTGTTAATACTTCATTTTTACTCCAAGTTTCCCCATTTGTCTATTGTTGTGTTGGGGTGTGTACTGCAGGAGGTATCTGTGAGTTTGGGGTACTCCACCCCAGTCTGTGTGAGGTCAGTGTTACTCCAGTACAGAGGGCCATCTCTGCTGGACCTAGAGCCACCACTCCAGGTAAAGAGAGGGGAGGGAGGGAGGGAGGGAGAGGGGGGAGGGAGTATAATATGTGTGTGTGTTGTAAGAAAGTGTTGGTTGAGTAACCAGGTCTTTTGGGATTTCTTTTTCACTGGAAATTGTTTCTGTACATTGCCTGCAGTAGTATGTACATGTATGTAGTACTCTTCACTCCATTGTTTCAGCTACAGTTGTGATGTACAGATACACAATTCTCTTACCTACTATGACATAATCCCCTGTATGTACATGTATAAACATATATTGTATAATACACAATATTGTGGCTATGTATTGTGAGAGTTTCAAGTCGAGCACGGTTGACCTTTGACCTGCCGTGTCGTGACACTCGAGACATCTCTGATTGGCCACGCCCCTTTCCCCACTGACCCCTGACCTTTGTACCCTCTGTCAGATTGTGACCTCGGAGCCAGAGTGGTGAGTGAGGGATGAGGAAAATGAGCCGAAGGTGAGCTCTGCAATCTGATTGGTCGACTGGTCTCCAGCGGAGCACACGTCACTCTGTACTGTGTTTTGATGCTCGAGACTGTTGCCATGGATACTGTCACATGACGTTGTGCAATGTCTATCAAATTTTTGTTCTGTGGTACTTTTGTTGAGAGAGAAACCAACATTTACTGTCTGGAAAGATCTGTTCACGGCATGTCATTTGTGTCTACTGACAATTCCTGTGGGAGGTTTTTCTGCTCAATTATTGTGTTATTTAGAACCTCTTGGGGTGAAGAACGAGACAACCGCTGATTTACATTCTTCTTTCTCCTCTCTCCCTCTCTCCATCTCTCCCTCTGTCTCCTCAGGTCAGAGGGACCAGGCTCTAGACTGGAAGACTGCTCCTCCTGTCTTTATTCTCTCTTTCCTGGTCCTGGGAAGCCAGAAAGACGCACACTGCAAACAGGTTATCTTGTATATACATGTGTATGTATGCACACATTCCTGTCAACCATTCAGAAATCCTTCCTACTGCGAATATGTGTGTGTATGACAATTTTGAAAAGGCACCAATCCACCATTGCCTGGCTATGCAGTCAAGGTGTGGCTACAGTACAAAGTTAGTGCTGCTGATGAGATATCTACATACGTAGTACATGTATGCATATCAAGTACTGTAGTCCTACATAGCAAGTAGTCATTTGGTACGAAACCTCAGTCGGTGATCTAAGTTTTGGAGTTAAGGAGCGTCGTGCCTGCCAACCCTTAAAGGGAATGTATCCTAGAACTGTTTCTGAAAACGTAAACATACAACTACACATTCTTCCACTGGGCACTATTTGTCTTTTTGCAACATTTCTATGAGTTTAGCCCTTATGTATATGTACCTATTGCCACATTCTGACACTCTCCCCTCCCCTCCCCCTGTCTTTGTCACTGCAGCAGGTACTACAGGAGTTTGGAGTGAAGTACATTCTCAACGTGACGACAAAGTGTCCCAACTACCACGAGGAGGACAAGGAGTTTGAGTACAAGAGAATAGCAGTCACTGACACCGGGACACAGAAACTCTCCAACACTTTAGAGAGGCCTTTGAGTTTATTGGTGAGCGTCTGAGGGAGGGAGGGATGGGAGGGAGTGGGTGTGGGTAAAGCCTGCATTGCATCGAGCTCTTATATAAGTATGTGCATCAGTGTTGTTAAAATTTTACGTATACTTGGAAAAACAAACGAATAATAATGTATTTGAGCAAAAGAATCACCTTTTGCTGTGATATAATACTTACAACAAAGATTGTTCCGCTCTCACACCAAACTATACTGGAAGATGCCAGCAACAAGTGTGTTGAAATGAGCCACTGAGTGCACAGGTGACGCAATACCACGTAACTCTGAAACTGAATCTTCAAATGCTTGTGAATCTTAAAACAAAATTGTTGTGACACGCTTGTGCTTACAAACCATGCTCTTGGGCTGTGTGAGCAAGCCCTCGTAATCATGGTGGCTTTATTGCGCAACTATTACGTAATTGTAGGGAGAGTTACTGTATGTAGCTGATTGCTTGTAAGGTGTTTATCTGCAAGTCTGCCTAACTAAAGATATCTAGAGTAGTATATATACAAAAGGCACTACAATAAAGGCCGCCCACATGGAAACATTTGCATGGCGGCAGAGATAGCTGAGACCCAAGTTCGGGAGGTCCGCTTGCCCTATCTGGCAATCTGTCACAAGAAACACATTTCATTGTGTAATTTCAAAACAGACTACTTTCACCGATTGGTTTACTTCTTCCCTCTCTCCCTCCCTCAGAGCTGGCTCGGAAGGTGGACTCGTGTGTCCTGATCCACTGCATGGCTGGCATATCTCGCAGCGTCACGCTCACCATAGCCTACCTCATGAGCCACTTTGGCCTCCCCATGACCTCCGCCTACCAGTACGTGAAGGAGCGACGTCCGGCCATATCCCCGAACCTCAACTTCATGGGTCAGCTGGTGGAGTTTGAGAACTGCTCCTCCACGCACCCAGAGGGAGAGGGAGACGGGCTGCCTCTCAGATTAGAGGATTTCGCTCCATCTCTGGAGCAGCAGGAGATGTCTGAGCTAATGAAGGTCTGACTGTCTATCTCTCTTTCTCAGTGAATTTGCATTCTGTCGTGGTTTCAAGTTAGTCCCACCCAGTGGAGCTTTTATCCAAAGTGAATATTGTTGCTTGCACTTTCCTTGTTTCATACTTGGCACCAGTGGAATATATAGAAGACTTGTGTGTGGTGCATACGTCAAGTACAGTTCACAGGAAATTGCTATAGACCATTGTGTCAACTATGCAGCTACAGTAGTAGATATGAATACAGGTATATAGAACTGAGATGATGTATTATGGGCTGCATATTATAACAATACTCGTTGGTAGAACGCTACCCGAGTGTCGTGGGTTCGAACCCCACCCAGGGCAGCTCTTCTTTTCCAGGAAAATGAATCGCTGCCCTGGGTGGGATTTGAACCCACGACGCTCTGCAGTCTAGGCGAGCATTCTACCAACTGAGCTACCAGGGCAACTCAGCTGGTAGGGGTATCGGTCATGCATTATTGAGTACATTGGTAAAATGTGAGTACATTGGTAAGTGTCTGTAATACACGACCAGGTCAGGTCTACCTGTAGTGGAGGCTCCAGTAAGGAGAGCACACCAGAGGCCACCAGAAACACCCCAGAGGCCGGAGTCAAACCCAGCAGTGAGGGTCCAAGGTTCACCCTCAAGCCACTCACATCCAACAAGAGGAAGAAGAAGAGAGTTTCCCCACGCACGTCGCCACGGATACTGACAGACGAGGCAGCGTACCTGAGTCCCAAGAAGCAGGGAGGGGGGAGGGAGGGGGAGGGAGGTGGTGTGGACACGCAGCCAGCTATCAATTCTGTGTCGGTGGTCAAGAGTCTGGGAGGAACAGCTCCCACCGTGCTGAGTCAGCTACGAAGAGGCAGCGTGGAACAGGCCATCAAGAGCTTTGAAAAACTCCATACAACTGACTAAACCTTTCCTGACTGGAATTATTCACCTTCTCCTCCCCACATCCTCCTCTATTTTACCCTCCACTATTTAACTATATATAAGCCACCCTACTTAGAGCCTCACTATGTATATCAGTACATCTGACTCCACTTTTGTTCATCTCCGATTTTTCTCCTTTCTCTACTGTATACTCGCTCACCCTTATCAAAATGGTATCTCACTTCAGTCCATTTCCTTCTGACTAACTCTTTCCTTGTCGCTATACGGTTGCACCTACCAAATTAAATTTCACAGCTTATGCACCACTAATACCCATATTATTTACCCTTCTCAGTTTCTCTGTAATGTCTGTCTTTCTGTGTAGTTTCACTTCTCCTAGAATTATGTCCCCACATGTTATTCAGTGATCTAGTTTGTCACCCATACGTACATACATGCCTAATGTTTTATACTTCTCGCCTGTAACTAACCTCTTGTGTCGTAATCCATCTTTTTTTGTCTTCTGTTTTGTTCTTCCTCTTGTGCTTCGACCCCACAATGTCATTGTGTGCAAGTGATTTTATAATTATAGATATTAAACTTTTTCAGTGGCTCATGTCATAAGTACGTTTTTCAGCATCATGTGCCGTTTTACAATTAATGATCGAAGTAACACAAGTAGTGCTTACTTGTGTGCCATTCATGATATGATGTGGGCAACTTGTATCTCCACGAATAATACATCACTCGATCTAAACGCTGACGGCGCAGGGCGCATGCGCAGTCAGCAGTTTCCGGAAGACGGCTCAGCGCGCCGCGCCATACGAGCGGCAGCGGGGTGCACAGTGTAAATCAAATTCTTTGCGTATTAGAACGATAGGGAAGTAATGCGGAGTAATTCGGATGCGGAAGTTTCCGGAAGACGGCTCAGCGCGCCGCGCCATACGAGCGGCAGCGGGGTGTGCACAGAGTAAATCAAATTCTTTGCGTATTAGAACGATAGGGAAGTAATGCGGAATCGGAAACTCCGTTGCATGTAAAGTGCGATGGAGGTGAAGAAAGTCGGCGACTATTTGGACGGGAACAAGTTCGACAAGCCGTTCGAGGTATGCAACGCCGTCGGCTCTACTAAATCACTCGGTGCACCTAGCAGAGCAAAGTTTTGGGAACAGAGCACGGGCTGCGACTTCAGCAAACGAAAATGCGGAATATTAGGCTGCGGCGCTAATGCTCAACTAGGAGGCCTCATGTGGATCAAGCGACGTTGGAAATTCTGCTTCATCATGCCCATCTGCCGGCAGCACGGTAACCTCGACTATCCGAACTACGCGCAAACTAACAAAGACATTCGTCCTGGTAGCCTGCGAGCTAACTGATGACGATGCAGCGGCGTCCAACTGCCATGGAATGGAGGTTGGTGACTATTTCTACGGTCAGTTCGAAGTAAGCAATGTAGTTGGCTCCACCGAAGACGGTGGGAGCAAGGCCAAGTTCTGGAGCGACCACACCCCTCGAGATTTCTACAAGCAAAAGTGTGGGATACTGGGTTGCGGCAGTGATGCTGAAGTTGGCGGTCACATGTGGATCAAACGACTCTCGAAGTTTTGTTTCATTCTGCCAATCTGCAAGAAGCATAACTCCAGCCCAGACCTCCACTACCCTAAGTTTATGTCAACCAAAGGAGGTGTTTGCCTTGTCGCCCGCAATATAACAGAAGGAATGCGTGAATAGATGAGCATCACAGTGGACAATTTTTTGTAGTTGTTAGCTATACAGAATTTAAGAGTGATAAGTTATATTAAAATACCCAATTCTTTTTCTCCATAATGAAGCGATTGCAATCTTCCGCACTTACAATAATTTTACTATAGTCAAATTAAAGTGGTATGTGGAGTATTCAATTTGCTACACAAAATAGCATACACAGCAGTTGGGATCATGGAGCAGCACAAAGACACAAACCTCTCTGAGTTGTATAGCATTGTGGAGCACTTTATGCACTCTTATTATACAAAATATAGACAAACATAATTGATTTTTGTGTCAGCCAGATCATATCGTTTCCTACTCTTTTTTTGCTTTCCTTCTTCCTTAATGGAAAGACAGCAATTTGTAGGAATTTTTGGTGATAACTACTCCACATAAATCGATAGCCTTTTACCACTAGTTTCTACAAGTGCAGAGCTACACGGAGCAGTAGATACATCAATTACATGTATTATGAGTCATATTAGCACATTGAGAACTTGTGAGTCAAGCACAGGCACACAGCCATAGTTACAGTATATACCAACTGTTTGTGACATTGAAATCTCTAGAAGGAGAAGAGAGTTGGAGGGAGCCACAGAGAGTGGGAGATCAGTTCAGAAGACTGCTGGCTATGATCCTCTTCATTATCTCACTTGTTCCTGAGCAACATCACACACAGAAGATGGACAGGTTACTTCTTCATGTAACGGGTATTGGAGTGATGTGATAGTAGTATATACAGTACGTAGGTATATCTGGCACTATAATAACTCTAAATAAAGGACACCTCTGTAATCTCTCTTCATGTTCCTAGTGTGCCCTTTATACAGAGGTTTAACCCTCGGCGAGCATGCGCAGCGAGGGTGGTCTGTCTGTCTGTCACCCAATCCATCATTCACCTCTACTTTACTGTCCCTCTGCTAATGAGGGTGTCAAAGACTGCATTTTTTATAGGAACACCAGTGGAAGAACATATCAGCAAACCATACTAATAAAATGGACAGTCATAGAAGTATGGAATAGTACTGTAAACCTTCTTTCTGCACCGCACCTCAGTCTACCTACCTAGCTTCACCAATCTTGAAGGCACAAGAAGTCACAGCGAAGGGTGTGTATTGACTCCCGCATGCTACTGTAGCTAGCCAGTGTCAGACTCTCCGTGAGATACTAGCGGGAGATCGCGGGTAAACGCAGACTAATAGGCCCAGTCCATCAGAATATCACAATGACTTTCTGCAGCAATAATAATGCAGGGGCTTACCCTCTAGAATTGTGTGAACTCTTGCGTCCCTCATGTACTGCTGGACCGGGTAATCCTTCAGGTAACCATAGCCACCGTGCAGTTGTAGGGCTTTGTTTGTGATGTCGTAGCACGTCTCCGTGGCGACGAGCTTTGCCATGGCACAGAGCTGGGGGGCGTGGGAGTGGGCGGAGTCAAGGGACCTCGCTGCGTGTCGCACCATTAGTCTGGAGGAGAGGAGCCCAGCTGCCATGTCTGCCAGTGTGAACCTCAGGTGCTGAGGGAGGGGGAGGGGGAATTGTAACAGCAGTTTTTGGATCGTGAGGCAACCCAAAGACACTAAAACTCTATATTGACAGCAAAGTCAGCAATTTCAGTGAGTAACAAGGAATATAGCAGTAAATATACTGAGAGATGACACTTGTTTTGAAATTCCAATCAAGCGAGTTTGAATTAGACAGCATTATTAAACTTTGCTGGTTCCTAAATACAGTTTGTGCAAAGAAAAGTTATCGGATGGCTAATAAATCGCAATTGTCATACTGGCTACTGAGTGCTATAATAGCAGAGTGTATGTAAAGAGAGAGAGTAAGGAGAGGAAGGAGAGGAGGAGGAAGATACCTGAAACTGGGAAAGTTTCTGTCCAAACTGTTTTCTCTCTTTGAGGTAGTCAGTGGTCTTATCAATGGCGGCCCAGGCTGCCCCGAGACTGCAGGAGGCTGCGAGCAGACAGGGTTAGGGAGGGAGAGGGAGGGAGAGGGAGGGAGAGAGAGGAAGGGAGAGGAAGGGAGAGGGAGAAGAAGACGGAATATTGCAGACAAAAAATTAATGTGAGATAGTTTAATTTTGGCCAAACCCACAATTTGGCACAAAAACCACCATAGAAAATTGCAAGCTTATTTAATTACGACTACACCAAATTCACTGCTGAAGGCTGAAGGGAGTGAAAAATAGCAGATCTAAAACACAAGCACTGTTAGCACGATAATTTAAGTGAGCTTCAATTATAATGTGTGTTTCACTGAAGTTGGAATACCGATGTTGATTCTGCCTCCATTTAACCCCTTCATGGCTATGGTGAAGCCCTGCAGTGGTAGAAACCATTACATCATACTCCTGCCTGACTAACAGTGCAGTGGGTGTGGCTACCTGTCCCTCCTCCCCGACCATGTTGGTTGCCGGGATACGGCAGTCCTCGAGAATGACCATTCTCGTTGGCTGAGAGTTCCAGCCAACCTGGAGGGAGGAGGATGGGAGGGAGGAAATCAGGAGGTGACGCCACAAAAGACAAGCGTATTACACGGTTGTATACCTAGTATGAAGTGTAAAGTTTAGTTAATGAATGATACATAGGTTCCTGCACTTATTATCCCATTTTAGTCAAACTTTAAACGCCACATTGATATTCTTCATGTATTTATGTACCTTAAAAGCCCCCTAGGAGCTATTATAGTGATCATACTGTCACTACCTTCTTTTCTTTGGCCCCAAAGTTGAGCCCGGGAGTGTCTTTGTCCACCAAGAAACAAGTCACTCCTTTAGCACCTGGTGACAGGGGAGGACAGTATACAACACTATGTACAGAGTCAACCTCGGCAATACTATAGATGGATGGATGGAGACATGAACACAAGACAGACACTCTGCTGTCTAGACAGAACACTCTATATACCACTGAGAGCTACCAGCTGAGCAGATAGTAAACTTGCAATACAGCCCTTCACTTGGAAGAAGTACTTGTACACCATGTGTCAAAGCAAAGAACTACACTATAGACAACTCCTTATAATTCCAAGGGAAAAAATAAGGTTTTCGGTTTTCGAAAAGAAGGGGTTCGAACTCACGACACTCTGCACACGAGCGTCCCGCCAGCTGAACTACCAGGGCCACTGAACTAAAGCATTACGCCGTTGTGTACATGTCTGCACAAAACACTGCATGATACGTATGGAACACTACACAGACCATCGTCCTTGGCGCCAGTTCTGGTCATGATGATGTAGACATCAGTGTCTCCAGCTCCACTGATGAAAGCCTTGGATCCATTGATGACGTAATGGTCGCCGTCTCTCTTGGCTGAGGTCTGCAGGTTCGCAGCGTCACTCCCGTAGTCTGGCTCAGTCAGGCAGTAGGACGCCAGCAGCTGTGGGAGAGGGGGAGAGAGAGGCTTGTGCGGTGGAATATGTGCAGGAAATTGACACTAGCAGAATAGAGCAAGACAGAACTCCACAATCCCAATCTATTCCCTCCTTCTCTTGGCAAGTCACACCTGCGATGTAACCTCATCTAATGTAGCACTGCAATACACGCACCGGTCATCCCTGCCTTGTGGTATATCTCCTTGTTCTAATACCATCCACTATTACCCACTATGGAAGAACATTTACATTTGCATACCCTACTACCATCTTTAGTGAGGGTTGCCGGTATAATACTGTATGTACCTGCATGCTGCAGATGTGTGGCAGGTATTTGCTCCTCAACTCCTGACTCCCAAACTCATCAATCATCCAGGCACACATACTGTGTGGAGAGAGTAGACACATGCCTCTTTTAAACAGTTAGCTCTACCGAGAATGAATGACGTCATTATCTATGAAAACAACCGGTATAGTAATGGTAGAGATGAGTAGAGATGGTACGTAACAGTGGGTAGTACATATATTAGGGTTATGTGAGCCAAAAATACTATTTCTCAATAGTCAAACTACCGTCATGGATGGTTAGTTTGTTCTTCCACTAACCTACTTGCAAAACAGTTGAATTAAGAAATCTAACAACATTTATGGAGGATAAGGGATAGGAACAGCGAGATAAGGGATAAGGGTAATAGTCCGATGAAGTGAGATGGAGATTAGAGTTAAAATGTAACAGGTACTGTATGACATTTTGTACTTGTGGATGCTGATGTAGGCAGTGGTGCTAACACAGCCGGTAGCCAGAGCCTCGAATATGACGGAGGAATCCAGTCGCGAGAGGCCACTCCCACCCACGTCCTCCCTGACATACAAACCTCCAAACCCCAGCTCTGCTGCCTTCCTGCACACCTCCACTGGGAATATCTCCTGAATTAGGGGGGGAGGGGGCTTATTTGGTGACATTGAAAACGTGTGAACAGGTACAAATAGTGTTTTATAATCTGTTTGTAAGGTTCATACTTGCTGCATTCAGATTGCGCAAGTCTCAGTTTAGAAAGAGATTTTAATTAACGAACGTGAGTGTATGGGACAACATTATCGTTACTCAAGTGTGAAACATTGCAACATCTCTTTCTCTCTCTGTACAAGGTTTTAAGAGAAGAATAGCTCTCTCGCAGTGTCAGGAGAACTCATCTGAGGAACATGAAATTGAGACTGACCTTCTCGTCCCATTCCCTCATGTGAGGAGCCATTTCTCTGGCTGCAAACTCCACGGCCACCTTCTGGAACTGCCTCTGCTCCTCTGCCAGTCCTTCTGACGCTGTGTGTGTGTGTGTGTGTGTAGGAGGGTGGCGAGAGGAAGGCACAAGATAGTGAGGGCAATACGTTGAGAGAGACAGGATGGCGAAACAGAGACGACCATGGAGAGAGGAAGGGAGAGCAGGAGTATAGGTATGATGGCGTCATTAGGGAAGGCAGCTAGAGTAAGAGGAGCACTAATGACTGCAGGAACACGACAGCGAATTAGGAGACCAGAAGAGTGTGACAACTAACGGTCGAGGCAGGAGGCGTTGGAGAGGGCTCTCCAGCCGCCAGGAAATCCGCGACACACTCTTCTTGCCTGCCTCAGTACAGCAGCCATTACGACGAACAGTCAGCAACACCGTCAGCTCAGCTCATGCTCAAGCCCCGCCTCCCCACACGCGCGCTGGAGCGCTTACGCATGCGCAGTATCGCAGCGGCGGTCGGGTGGTTTTCTGTCGGTCGGGTGGTTTTCTGTCGGTCGGTGCTAACATGGAGGGACGCCTACTGATAGGTGTTGTAGTAATAGTTGCTACCTTTTACTGTTCGCCGGGAAAGAGTGAGGAATGCCACTTGCACGAAGGCGACCTGTGCAAATGTTCCACCAACACAACGACCATTGACCTCGGAATAATCTTCTCTGAATTGCCGTGAGGATACGCTCAGAGTTACGCACATTGGTATTCTCTCTTTTACAGTCAGTACGTTGATGGAGAAAAGTATATCTACAGCCCTTGTAAGCTAATGGTACCCACCAACTCAACCAAAGGAGCTACACAGAAGGAGCTGGAGGCCCTGGTACGACGGTATAAAGTCACGTATCACTGGCCCGTTTACTTTGGGGCTCAAATGTTTGTGGTTGTCACAATCAATACTTTCAAGATGGGCTCATGACAATTCGTAAACCACTAATGAAGATAGAGTGTATACTCTTCCACTTTCTGTAAATGTGTACTTCACCCATCTTCTTCTCAAAGGTCTGGAAAGTTTTTAAGACAAACACTGCTCTTGGTAGAGAAGCCACCACCTGGACTGTCAGCTCTGACGCTGGTGCTGATCTGAAGTTCAGGATTACCTACAGTGGTGGAGATGTGTACAAAAACAAAACAAAAAAATGGTATAATAGAGCTGTAAACTGTCTTTACTTGCACATATGAAACCCATATTATTATAGTTAGGAGTTAGGACAGAAAATAGTTGTATGAATCCACATAATTATTATGTGCAAGAGATTTTTACTAAAACCTGCTTGTGTCACCTTATACAGGAAGGCTGTGTTTGACTACTCGTACTCACCCAACGATACTAGGATAGCACACATGGGAGTTGATAAAAACAAACAGGTAGGTATGCACTGTATCACTTCAAAACTGCCGTGAAAATTTCGCAAAATTGCCTAGAACAAGAACTGAATGTTAGGTCCATTGCTTCTGGCATGCCAGCAAATGGTTTCATGGTGTTTTACGCAATTTGCGAAAGCAATTTATATAATTATAGCTACAGCATGCCAGAGATGTGTTAAAACCCTTGTTTGACGTATGTAGCTAACTAACTCTTCTCTTGTCAGCATTTTGTGGTTACGGGAAAGACAGTGAGGCCTGTGACAGCCAGAAGAAGGCCGACTGGCAGCACTGGTGTAGCAGTGGGTGTGGTCGGACTTGTTTTCATCATCCTGTGAGCTAGCTATGTGTACATCAGTATATATAATAACCCCCCTGTGTACATCAGTAATAACCCCACATTCCTCACATGAGTCACAAATACTTATTCACATTCTTGTTATTGTGTGTATTGCTGCTTACTGTACACTTTCACTTTCTTGTTATAGGTGTTTGGTTGCCGTGGTAACCTACTGTGTGGTGGGTGTGGCATACAACTATCGGGTGAAGGGGGAAAGAGGCAGTGACATCATTCCCAACGCCGCCCTCTGGGTTGAGCTCCCCGTTCTGGTCAAGGTATCAATTTCAAGCTGTCTTCCTCTGCTTTAGCATTGTGTATATACTCTTTCTCTCTCTCTCATCTCCCTTGATGTCTCCATCTCTGCTTTTTGTTCAATCTTTGTATTCTCAGCATGTCATTGCTGCTCAACTGGTTTGTTGTTTTGTCACATTATTGCCCTGCCTCCTCTTTGCCACAATCCCCCCTTTCCTCTCTCTCTCTCTCTCTCTCTCTCTCTCTGACTCTCACTCTCAGGATGGAGTTTGTTTCACCATCAGCCCCTGTACCTCCAAGTACCGTAGAACTCGCTACCGAAAACTCTAGTCTCACAGTCAGACCAAATGCTGCAACACATGCAGTAGGAACACTATCTGCAGTAGGAAGACTGTCTGCAGTATAATTATAGGGGCAACAATAAAGCTCTATTGTACACTTCTTTCTATATAATTATACATACACCAACTGTTCGTTTTTATAATCCACACAGCGTTTTTCTCTCATTTCTTTGTGAGGGGATACAATTACGGTAACCAAGGCGACACTACTCTCACTAAATGAAAAGCACTAAAGTGCAAACCCTCGGCACACTGTGGAACCCATACACAAGTGTGGCACCACTACAATTGATGGTCTTGACCATGCATCAAAAAGAACAGCATGTTATGCACTATTTCCATGGATAGGTTGAAAAAATGGCCAGCCCCATTTCTGTTTGAGGCCAAAAATATATATACGGTTGAAAAATTGCCAACCTTCCATCTCTCTATTAATTTTCGTATTACCTGTGGATTGTTTAGTGCGAAAAAAAACCCTAAGGTTGAAAAAAATATTTTTACAAACGCCCAGCCCTTCATCTCTCCAGACAGACGTCTACGGACGCAGTGCAATGCCGAACTATACGCTGCCCTTTGAGAAACGTGGGTCAGTGGTAGATTTGTGGGTAAGGGGAGGTACCAGAGCTGTTCCCAGCCAATGCTCTGGACCACCTGACACTTTAGTGCGGGATCGAGGATTCGAACCAGGCACCTATGGTGTCAGTCCCCACGACTCTAACCACCTAGCCACTGGGCTGGCCTTGAGAGGTGATGAAAAAACGTTCCAGTTATACCAACAGCCAACCACACCTCCCGGGATCGAACCAGGGACCTCACGATCAAGAGAGGGGGTGCTTATCCATCAGACCCCCACCCATTACTTGAATGGGAACAGTGTAAATGCGCACTAAAGTGCAAACCCTCTAATTGATGGGCTGGGCCTATTAGTCTGCGTTTACCCGTGATCTCCCGCTAGTAGCTCGCGGAGAGTCTGACACGGGCTAGCTACAGTAGTAGATAGCATGCGGGAGTCGATACACGCCCTTCGTTGTGACTTCTTGTGCCTCCGAGGTATATACACAGATAAAGGGGTAAGCTAGTGCTAATTAGCATATTGGCTTGTTCACTTGGTTTTCACGCCATAACTTCTGAACGCGGCACTTTTACGAAAATCGACACTTTTTAAAATCAAGCCAGTGTAGCGCTGAACCCTTTGGTGTCGCTATTTTACCTGTTTGTTGCGCGTGGTGGCAGAAAACGTGGTAACAGACGGACTCGCTGCGCATGCGCGCCGAGGGTTAATGATTGAGCCACTGTTAAAGGGGTATATATGCATTACTGTAGCCATTAGGGGAAGGGGATTTGCTATAGACAAACACCCACTTTGTGTACAGGTGAACCCCCTTTATATGCCACAACACACGTCTCCTGCTACACTTCATTATTTCTGAGTGACTTCCCAAAAAATATAGTAGATAAACATAACATACAGAGTGATCATGAGCACAATCAATTATTGATGTATGCGTGAGTTATAAGAATATTAATTTACAAGAAGACCTATGCAAAATAGTATATTTGGTGGCGATAAGTTGGGAGTTGGCACTCTATTTGAGAATCGGACCCTTCCCACGTCACTCATATCGAGACCCGCTCTGCTATGTCGCCTTCTACTGTTGTAGCAGAAACGAAGACTATGGTGAATGAAAATCCTTCACCTGAAAGAGAAGCAGGGATCTATATTGATTCTCTAGACAGTCAATGGATAGTTTAATTAAAGAGGCAACTCTCATTTTCCTCCTCCAATACAGGCACCTTTTCTCTCCCCAAGTCCCGACCTCTTGTATTCAAGGAGAACCCCACTATATAATATATGGAATGCTGGTTTTATTACGATATGGTCCAGTTTCACTGCCCATGGGGATTGGACGAGCTCTGCGGTGGTAT